GAGTACTGGGTTAGCATTCTCCCGCAGAGCACAGCAAAGCACGTGTGCCATTTACCGTGGAAGAGTCAAAAGGTCGACATTGAGCCCCCGCGGGACACAGTGGACTTTTTGTACGACCAACCGACGTACGAGACCAAAAGCCCGACTGATGTGGCGACCTTGGGGCCAACTACAAGGGCACCGCTTGGGTACGTCGTACATGCGCGGTCGGGTGACAAGGGATCCGACAGCAACGTTGGATTCTTTGTGCGGAATGCCGACGAGTGGGATTGGTTAAGGTCGATGTTGACGGTCGGGAAGATTCGTGATTTGCTAGGAGAGGATGACAAGGGTAAACCGGTTTTCCGTTTCGAGCTCCCACATCTCCATGGTGAGTTATTCTGTCCTTTGTAAAGGCCGATGGTGTCGTGTTCAACTGACTTGGAGATAGCTGTGCACTTCCTATTGAAGGATCACCTGGATAGGGGTGTCTCTGCAAGCTCGTCTTACGATTTCCTTAGCAAGAACTTGGCAGAGTATCTACGATGCAAGCATGTCGACATCCCGGACAGGTTCTTGGCTCGTGGCAGAATCTGAAGGGCGAAATGGAGATATCCTTGTGAGGCAAAGACGCCGGAAGAGGTACACATAGGTACTTTTGCGATCCAAGATGGGTTACACCGAGGATCTGCGGCGTCAGCGGTGGAATTACGGGCTAACCTTTGACCGTAGTATGACGAGCCTCGCGATGATGTGGCTGGGTGACGACTTGGTACACCACAGAAGGAATAGTTGTGGTAAAACGAATCAGGCAATGGGAGAAAAGAGCCGAGCTCTTTGGTTCTTCTGTGGCTTATTACCCCGCCAAAAGCCTGACGACATAGCGTTGGCTGCCGCTTATCCTTTCCGCCGTTTGATGGCTGGGGTCGAGTTAGCTTGCAAAGCTTCTTGTCTCAGACATATCCACCGGTACACTGAACCCGGCCCTTTAGATCAAACGAGACTTTAATTGCCCCTTCTGGAATTCAGAGAGTCTTGCGCAGAAACACAATAAGAGTCACGTTCTTTGGATGTTGGTTGGTTTAGATAACGAAGGTCAGCGGCGCAACACTGTCTTCCCTGTCGTGGCAAAGCCGACGTACGCGCCATGGTAATAAAGTTGCCATAATACCGGTTTTACCTTGATCCGTTTGCTCATCATGTTTTAGTGCTAGGTATTGACTAACGGAACATTGAGCGTACATAGTAGGTTGAAAGCCCACGTGGCACAGTCTGACGGTCGACACAGCTCGCCAGATCCCAAACCCTAGCATTCGGAAACGGCTTGGGGTGACGCGATGATGATAGAGTGGCGGACCAGAAAAAACAGGGCTGAGGCCCAAGGGCACACTCTTTCTCATGATTGCCAAACAAATCACCGTCCGGGATTCGCAACCGGATGCGTGGTCTACCATGCCGGAATAGGCAGTTCTTGATGCCGGTCAGTCATCCTTAGGGGGCCTTTGGGGGCGGAATCCCCAACCCAACCCAACCGCCGGACCACTCACTCCATGAATCCACGTCTCCGGAGCGGCTGCTCCACTTCGCGCCGGGAGCTCGGGGGGTCTAAAAGATGTCCCACTGATCTCCTTTGCTTCTCGGGATGCTGCAGCCTGTAAGCCTGCAAAGCCACCACGGATACCAAGGTACTTTGACAGGACCCCTCCCTTGCTGTGCTACTGTTCCTGGAGTGAGTGAGAGTGAGCGAGGGAAAGAGTGATAGCTTATCGGAGACTACTTGACAAGCTTGGGCAGACATGACGGTGTCTGTCAGGTATCACAATAGGATCAGCCCCTGGTGAGACGCCACAGCCATGAGTCTCCGAAACGTCATTTTTGGGCTTGCTTACTTACTTTAGGCATGGGATTCCCTCTCAGTGGTCAGATTGATGATCTTATTCAAAACCATCTCTACCAAAGTTCGCGGGAAAACTCACCTTTTTCCGGTTGCCGTCCACCAGCACCTCAAATCCAACGAGTATCACCGTTCTATTTCGCCAGCTTCTCTTTCATGCTTCGAAGTAATCGGCCTCAGCACTATTCACCTCAATATCCGACCACGAAACATCAACATCATGACGAGACTCAGCGACGCGATCAAGGATGACCATCGGAAGATCGAGCAGGCATATCGATATATCCTCACATCAACCACTCTAGAAGACAAAGTCCGATGGAGGAATGAGCTCAGCCTCGAACTGGCAAGGCATTGCATCAGCGAGGAACAAGTCCTCCTTCCAATCCTCACAGATCGACTGGCCGATGGCGAGTCTCGTAGCGCCAGGAATCACACGGACCGCGAAAGCGTAAGTTTAGCGTTGCCGCCCACCCATAGTCACATCGGGAAATTGATCGGTCGCTTTAGTTGAAGGAAAAGATTTGCCGCCTCCAAGCGATTCCAGTCGACGATGACAGTTTCGAAACCGAGTTAAAGGCTCTCTGGGTAGACCTGGCAGCCCACGTCCGCGATACCGACAACCAGGACGTGGCCCGGTTGGAAGAGTGCCTCACCATGACCGAGTCTGAGGAGCTTGCGAGGCAATTTCGGCTCACAATGTCCATGGCTCCGACGCGGAGTAACCCCTCGCCTGATCGCGGTCCGCCGTCTCAGCAGATCACAGACTTCCTCGCCACCAAAACTGGGCCTTGAATGCGCATGGCCCGATTTTGCGGGGTTGGTGAGGAGGGAATTCTGGGGAAGCATGGGTGAGACGTCCGATGATATACGGCATTATGACGGAGCAAGATCCTAGTGGTCACAGTAAATATTAATCATTATGGGTTTCTCTCAGTATGCTGGTTGCACCCAAGATAACGGCCTGGATTTCAATACTCTGACTACATCTCTTTTCTGACCTCGCATGTACTGTAACAAAACACATGATAAGCCTGGAGCCGACCGACCCGGAGCCGAGCAACTCCGGGTGGGCCCGATCGGTGTCGACCACGGCGAGTTTGCCCCGGTATCTCTTTGTCACTTCCACGTCATAAGACCACGGCTTGCAGCACTTCCAGCACACCAGGATCACATCCATCTGTCTTCCAAATTTTCGCAGTTCATCTTTTCCTACGTAATCTTGTTGCGCAGGTACCCTCAGCTTGCGGAGCCAGTGAAGGTAATAGTGACTGCGGCATCGGAAACCGCCGGAGTCAACTCCGTTAGAAACCAAAACTGCCGATGCATGACATGTGCCATAACTCTCTTCGTTCATACTTGGTCGTTCAATCATGCTTTGGCAATGCGCGCCAAAGCCAAACCTCCATTTGCTTGTAGCCCAAAGCTACCAAAAACTTGATTTAGCTCACAGTTCCAGACAGTGAACGCATGTAAGTTCATTACATGTGAGAGCATTTGCTCCACTTTACCATCACAAGGTGGTTTGAACCTTAGTCAAAGATGCACTTTCTTAGAACCTGATTGGAAACACTGTTACCCATCCGGCCGAGAGCTTACATCAGAATTTCCCAATATGCAGTCCTGAGAGGCGAAGTCCCTATTCCCCACAAGACTTTCCGTGGTCGGCAAGATAAGCGGAGGTCTAGTGCCCTTGGCCTCTGAGTTGTCGATTTCCGTCATGTTATTTAAGCTGGCTCCTCATGATACGGCCATGAAAGCCTATGGAGCTCTCATCTACGAACTTCTGAAGCCCCCGAGATTTCAACTCATCAGTCAACATTCAAGATGTCGTACAAAGATTACGATGTACGGGACCAATACTCAACCCGCCGGCGGCACCACTCACCAGCCTACTCCGACTTGAGCGTCGGAAGTCCAGGGTACAGCCCGACAAGGGATGCCGGCGCTGCCCACGTCGCACACCAGCACTACAAGCCTCCCGATCGCAGAGGCCGCGTCGAAGTCTACGAAGAAGATAGATACAAACCAAGAATCAGAGACTATCACTACGAAGAAAGGCGTCCACGATCGCGACCAAGATCCGAGGTCTACGACTCCGACCGCAGCCATCGTAGCCACAGGGATGGGCACCATCGCCACCACAGCCACACACACAGCAGAAGCAAACGGAGGCATTCCACCTCCGGGCCCAATTGGGGTCAGGCCGCTGTTGCAGCTGCTAGTGCCGGTATCATTGAGGCGGGTCTGGCGCGGCATGACAGGGACCGAACGGCAAGAGTCATGACGGCGGCGGCGGGAGCCGGGGCGATTGACGCCGTCGCTGGGAAGCATGGAGAGAAGCCGTCTAGGACTTGGGAGAATGTTGTCGGAAGCACTGTTGGCGGCTTGGTAGTTGATCGTGTGGCTCATGGATCGGGACGCCGGCATTGACGAGTTCACGGCGAGGGGCGCCCGGGTTCGGCGAGACACAGCGCTTGCGTCGAGCCATGAAATTTCTTTAGCAAACACTCACGTAAAACCAGAGATATGCAACACTTGTTCAAGTTCTTCCCAGAACGTATCGAGTTAACCAGTTCATCTACGGCAACTGTTCTTGACCCTAGTCTTCGGAAACAGTCCCGAATTCCCAGCTCACGATCTCCGGAGTCCGCAACTGGCCGCCATCCGATCCATGTCGGTCAGACCAACAAGAGGTCCTCCCATCTGATTCCTGCCGGTGGGTGTCGGTGCCATTGGCTAGGACACCACTTACTTGAGACTAAGGGCGGCTCGATACAACACTATCGCCAAGCGATTCGCGGAGGATAAATGAGCTTAATCTAAATGCCGGATGAACTGGCCCCGCCAAGCTAGCATTGGCACCTTTATTCCATTGTCAGTCTCACTTAGCGATGCAATCCGTTCTTGCCACCACCTCATGACCTTCCGCTCGTGGGATGCCGGAAGGGGTCGCCCCGTGGTCGCCGGCCTGGAACGTCGTCGCGGTTGAGGGAGTCGTCAAGTCCGTTATGGACCATGTTCACGGCAGATTCGATATAAAATGATGAATGACCTCCCTTTCTCATGACCTGCGCCGTGCGCATTTGTATACTTGATGCTAAAGGGAAAGCAATAACTTTACAACATGAAGCTTCTCGGTCTTCTCGCTGCTGCCGGCCTCTGCCAGGCCCACACCATCTTCGTCTCCCTCGAGGCCGATGGCGTCAACAGCGGCGTTTCTCAAGGCATCCGTACCCCGGAGTACGACGGTCCTCAGACCGACGTCACGTCCCAGTATATCGCCTGCAACGGTGATCCGAACCCGACGAAGTCAACCGACAAAGTCATCACCGTGACAGCCGGGTCAACAGTGACAGCCGTCTGGCGCCACACCCTGACCAGCGGGCCCGAGGACGTCATGGACGCCAGCCACAAGGGACCAACTCTTGCCTACATGAAGAAGGTCACCGACGCCAAGACCGACCCCGGTACTGGCGCGGGATGGTTCAAAATCCAGGAGGACGGGCTGAGCAGTGGTGTCTGGGGAACGGAGCGCGTCATTGGTAATGCTGGGAAGCAGGCTATTACTATTCCCAAGTGTATTGCCAACGGACAGTACCTTCTCAGAGCTGAGATGATTGCCTTGCACGGCGCCAGCTCTTACCCGGGTGCACAACTGTACATGGAGTGTGCTCAGATCAATGTCGTTGGCGGGACCGCGGCCAAGAGCCCGTCGACTGTCAGCTTTCCTGGTGCTTACAAGGTCTGTTGTTGAATCGTTACCATCAAGCCACATGAGATGCACTGTTTACTGACTATTGTCTCAGGGATCCGATCCCGGCATCACAATCAACATCTACTACCCCGTCGTCACGAACTATACGATTCCAGGACCCGCGAAGTTCGCTTGCTAAATCTTAACATGTGCTTTCAGCGGTTTTGATGCATCAGTATCATCAGTCATCAGTATCATTAGTGGTACGGATGAACTCTTTGATGGTTGGAGACGGAGATTAATTTCATGTACATATTACATGAGGAATCAAACTTGCACACACTGTGAAATTTCGATAGCTCTCCCAGACCTATGTTCCATTGCTTCAGAGCCTCTTGTATCATAGCTGGGTAATCGGCGCCAAAGCCTTCCGTTTATGGAATTCCGTAATGAAGAGCTTGCAGTCGAACTAAGAATCTTTCTCCTCCACTAACACCACGCATAATGCTCATTGTTAATCAAAATCGGAGCGTCCTCTGCTCCCAAATCCTCGCCATCCTCGAACCATAGTAGACTAGCAATGCTATGACTCTGCCTCTCAACGTAAACAGCATCTAGGTCGCTTTGGTCCAAAAGGCTCTTTACCATGGGAGATGGATCCCATAGTTGTACCTGGTCTAGCCTCCAATCTGCCGCCTCTGCTTGAGCAGCCTGCATCACAGCCTTCAACGCAGCAGCTTGCTCTGCATAATCTTTCATCGATATCGTGATGTTTGCTTCGCGTGGCTTGTTCGCAGTCTCATCCCCTTCTACCACAAGGCGTAGAATATAAAAAACATTCTTATCATCTGCACTCTCAATGCTATGGGGGTCTGGGTGCCTGTAGTAACGACGAACCCAAGTAGCCCAGACCTGCTTCCCAGCCACTCCAGTGATAACTCCCTTTATCACTGCCTTTTTACTAAAGATCTGCTTGGTAGCAAAGTCTTCTTTGCGAATGTGCCATAACATATGATTCAAGTCTGGTAGAATAACCACCCGCTTGCGTGACGGACTCGGTGTGGCCATGTCATTTTGTATCATAGCCTTGTCCCTGAGGCATAGGCTCTCCAGATCCGATTCGAAGATTGGCCGTGAAGTCGCAGGTTTCTCCATCTTTGCAGGCGGCAACACCAGGTGCCCGTTGATTGGGTTTGGTGTCCATCCCATCTTGGTATAAAACTCCTTTCCTATGTCTGAGTACAGGACGCTTCCAATGATCCTTCCGTTCTCGGACTGCCAACCGCGCATAACCGTCGCTAACTCCTTCATGTGACGAGCTGCGAAGCCGCGGCCGCGAAACTTTTCTGGACAGAAGACGCTGGCGACCCCATGAACGATTCTCTCCGTCGTGTTCCCCATGCTATCGCTCACGAGACAGCGTTTGCGAAAGGTTTCACATGAGCAGAAGATACTCCGCTCATTTGGCGGCGAAGTTTTGTCAACGAGAACCCAGGTCGCCATGCCTCCGTCTTTCGCAAGTGGGACTGTGGTGAGGTACGCGGACTCGAGCATGTACAAGGGCTGAGTCAAAGAATCTTTCCATTCATCAGCCGTAATTGTCCATATCTGGATGCATTCTTCGGGTGTAGGATGGTCGAGGTGAAGATCTAAAGAGGAGGAGCTAGCGATTGCGACTATAGACTTCGCCCGTGTACTTGTCAAGGAAGCCATTGTTTGTCTCAAGAAACCATGTGGCCGATTGAAGTTCAATTTGAGGTGATTTGAAGTCATCGGAAGCCTAGAGTTATTCAAGAAGTTTAAACTGAAGTTGCGCTAACAAGACAGCCGCTAAAGCCCTGAGCAATTCTATGACCCCCCTGCATATTGCACACTTTGTTGAGCGGGGTACCCCTAAAGTTGCTGTTGATACCTGGATTCGTGATCAAGACAATCCGTGCTTTCATCAGCGATAGTAGTGATGGAAAGTTCGCTGGCGTCTCACTTGACGTTAATAAGATAGCTTGAGGTTTTAAATCTTCAAAATTTACCAGTCTATTTACAGGTAATGAGTTCTAAACTGAATCTACAGATGAATTGAATCGAGCTTTTCATACACAACATCCCCGCGCTCAGTGGCGGTGGGGAGCTCTTCCAAGACGCATGGGTCTGCTGCGAGCGTGCCTTCTGGCATGCGCAGCAGCCGGGGCCGCGGTGGAGTTGGAAACAGGGCACGAGGTGTACATGACACCGCGGCCGTTGGTGCCAACATAGACAACGTTGGCCTCGTTGGCGGAACCAACTAGAGCAGCGCCGTCGAGAGCGCCAAAGCTGTAGGTGCCCTGGAGGTCAACCCACGAAGCACCGAGATCGGCGCTGGCGTAGAGCTTCTTGCCGTCGGCGGCCTCGCCAAAGACGTACAGGTTCCAGGCGCTGCCTTCGCCCTTGCCGACGGAGACGGCGTGTGCGTTGGAAGGGCCAGAGATGGAGGTGAAGGTCTTGCCAAAGTCGGTGCTGTGGAAGACGCCCGAGTTGGTGGAGACGAACAGCTCGCCGGCTGTGGCGGGGTGAGCGGCAATGAAGCGGATTTCGGTGACGTTGCCCAGGGGAGACTCTGTGAAGGTGGCTGCACCGTCAGTAGAGACGTAGAAGGTGGCCTTGGAACCGGCGTAGAAGACGTCGTTCTTCTTCTTGTCGCTGGCGATGACGCTGCTCGCGGGGAGGGTGCTGTTCTCGGGCTTGCCGCCGTTGCGGATGACCTGGACGCCCTCGCTCTTGGAGGACCAGAGAATGACATCGCCGTCGGCAGAGTAAGCAACGGAGCCGTCGGTGATAGTGTTGCCGGTGGAGTTCACAACGGACCAAGTCTCGCCGCCGTCGTTGCTGAGGGCAAGCTGAGGAGAGTCGGTGGCCTTACCGATGCGAGCAACCTTGTTGGGGCTGTTGCCGGCAAAGTCAACGTCGACACTGCTGGCCCACCAAGGGTTCGTCCAGGCCGATTGAGGGGCCTTGTCGACATCGGCGGCGGTCTTGTAGGTGAAGCCGTTGTTGTCAAGAGTCGCGAAGAAGAGCTCAGGGCCCTCAGCGGCACTGGCCAAGGCACCGACTGCCATCTCCTCGATACCGGAAGCAAGACTCTGGATGGTGATGGTCTTGTTCTTGTCCCAGTTGGTCAGGTCGTTGCTACCGTACAGGGTAAGGCCGGTGCCGTAGAAGAACTTGTCGCTGTTGGTGGGGTCAATTGAGAGGGACTCAATCATCCAGCCGAGCTTCTTGGTGTCGATGTCGAGGAAGTTCGTCTCGATCCAGGGAGCGTTGGGGGCGCTGATGGTGTACTGCGGCGCAACCTTGCCATCGGCACCGTAGCTCCAGATTCTCTTCCAGGTCGCGCCGGAGTCAGTGGAGCGGAAGAGAATGGCATCGGGATACCAGCTGTTCAGGGTGGCGACAACGATCGTTCCAGGCTTCTGCATATCGACACCGAGTCCACCAAAGCCGTAGTAGAGATCGCTACCAGTGGTGGGGGTGATATCGGTCCACTTGCTCGAAGTCAGGTCGTACTTCCAGACACCGCCCTGGGTGCCATCGTAGGGGCCGGTTCCATCGGAGTAGGTGAAGTAAATGACCTTCTCGGCGGGTTGGAGCACAGCCTTGTGGGGGAAGAACTTCTTGGGCTGGCCATCGACAGGGCCCCAGGTGGCACCGGCGTCAGTGCTCACGTAGACGGATGCAGTGGTGTTGTCGGCGGTTCCAACAAAGATTCTCGAGGTCGCACCGTTGACGACGTCGGAGGTCTCGTCGAAGGTGACGAAGGTCAGACCTTGAAGGTCACCGTTGTAGGCATCGCTCGCTGCGCCAGGGCGGAAAGTACCGACGGCCTCGAAAGTAGAGACCTTGGAGAAAGTCGCACCTAATCAATTATACTCTGTCAGAAAACCGAATTGAGGGGAGATCGTGGATGGAATTCTTCTGCTCACCAGCGTCTGTGCTCTTCCACAAACCGTTGCCGCTGCGGGCACCAAAGAAGATAATCTCCGAGTTCTTGGGGTCGACAGCCAACCGCTCACCGGTTCCGCGACCGGGCATGTTGCCGCCGACCTTGAAGGGAAGAGTGGTGGTCTCCCAGGTCTCTCCCTTGTCGGAGCTGCGCGCGAAAGTTCCATTCTTGGGGTCCCTGCTATAGTTTAGCTTCGATGCGGGATGTCAAGTTGAGCTGCAGAGCAGTGCTTACCAGTCGTTGGTGTACATGCCAGTAGCAATGTAGACCTTGTTCGCATCCTGGGCGTCAACCGCAAGAGCGTCGATGCCCCATCGGTTCCAGTTGGCGTCATCAGCAAATCCGTTGGCGTCGGTGATGGGGGTCCATGAGTCGTCGGCGTTCAGTCTGTAAAGACCTCCAATGTCGGTGCGAGCGTATGCGACTCCCTTCTCGGTCGGGTGGAAGACGATGGACGGCACGAAGCCGCCACCGCCTCCGGTGTGGACGTTCTTCCACGAGCAAGCGGCGCGGACGGACGCCGCGGCCGCCAAAATAAGACCGGCGCTTCTCATGATTGGATGTTGTAGGCTAGGTCACTCGAAACTTGAAAGAATGGTGAATCGTAGATGGACCAGCCAAGTGAAATGAATGTTTGGTACTGTTAGAAAAAGAGTGAATGTCGCGAAAGCGAACGTGGTGAGAAAAAGAGAGTAACTGAACCAGAAGATAGACAGACAAGAAAGTCATACGAAATTGCTCCATAGGGGACTGTCAACTATTTACATCATTACCAGTTCACCCCCTCGGCTCGGTCAGGACAACCATACTTGGTTAGTAAACAGGATACATGAGCCGAATAGGCGCGAACTTCCTTCTTCGCGATGCACTACCAGGGGAAGAGCTTCTGGAATAGATTGAAGGCATCCCCACGAAAGTTTAAACCCAAGAAAGTTGTGGGCAGAATGCCGAAACCGAGTGATTAACGCGGCCCGCCCGATTCACCCAGCAATCAGAAGCATCCGGTTACAGCAAGACGACATGGTTGTTGGCTCCATCAGCAACCCAATAATCCACCAGTGAGTGCTCGGTTTGGCGAAGAATGAGGTAAAGTGAGGCAATTAGCTTATAACACGTGAGGCCATGCCATCCCGGAAGTTGAAGAGGGTTGAAAATCTTAGCCAATTACGCTGTATTTGCGCTGTGCTAGTGTGTCAAGTTGAGCTGGAGCTCCTTGGGACCTT